ATTTTAAATTTTAATAAAATTTAGTGACTACATCAACACATTTTAGACTTTTAAAAGTATAAAATAAAATCCAATGGACCAAAATGAAAATATTATTTTAATTAAAATAAAATATCACTTACAGTTCGCTTCATTGGCACGAATCCAGATTCTGACAATCGTGGCGCCAATTTTCACAAAAATCGAATGAAAAATGAAGCGATAGTGATCTGTTCTTCTCTGTGATCAAGAAAGGATTCTTCGATTCAACGCTGTTATTGTTCTCTTCGATCGTTCTTGCAGGATTCGCATTAGCTCAATTTTGTTCAGAACAAGACGATCCGCTGCTCATGGCGTCCACTCTTGGAGGTGTGCACGATTCTCAAGGAGCTTCCAACTCCGCCGATGTGGATGAACTCGCTCGTTTCGCTGTGGACGAACACAACAAGAAAGAGGTAAAGAGATTCTCTCTATCTGTCAGTCGAAATGAATTTGTTTCGTACTCGGTTGGAGTGGAATTTTATTGTTGCGGTTTTATTTTATTTTATTTTTTCTTTTTGTTCATCTCGCGTTTCGTTGGTTCCTGATCTTGTTACAGTTGTGTTGTGCTATGGATTTCTCTGTATTAGGCAGCGCTTACTTCGCGATGGCGGATTTTGTATTAATGTTGCTTGCATTTTGTTGCGATCGGTTTTATTACTATTTGTCTTTTTGTTCATCTCAGTTAACGTTGGTTCTCGTTGATGTCTGTGTCGTTGGTTCCTGATCTTGTTATAGTTGTGTTGTGCTATGGATTTCTCTGTACTAGGCAGCGTTTACTTCGCGATGGCGGATTTTGTATTAATGTTGCTTGCATTTTGATGCGATCGGTTTCTGTCGGAGTCGGCGATTAGTATCACGATGTGGCAAACCGGAACTACGCGATTCTATCTTTCTTCCGTTTGTTTAATTGAATTGAATCTATTGATTGTGGTGATATTCTTATTTCTTCTAGGTACTGGGTTGCCTATGGGTTGTAGGCTTGCGCAATGGATGTGCGTAATTGATTTCTCTGTAGCTTGGCCATAAAATTTGAATTCAATAAAAGTTTGGAAAGCTGAACAAATTTATGGCTGCAACTAGTTAGGAGCGATATTCAACTTAAGAAAAATCTTGCCATTAGATGATGACTGGTAATGTGGTCTGATGCCGAGCTTTAACTATGTCAGCTAATGGTCCTTCCGTTTTGATTATAATCCGTGGACTGATGGTGACGATGAGATTTTTTTTAATCTTCTGATGAATTCTAGTTACTTAACACATGTAGATGTCTTCGTGAGAAGTACTATGTGTGAGATCCCTCATCGGTTGGAGAGGGGAACAAAACATTTTTTATAAGGGGGTAGAAATCTCTCCTTAGTGGACGCATTTTAAAACCTTGGCTAGGACAATATCTACTAACGGTGGGCTTGGGCTGTTGCAAATGGTATTAGAGCCAGACATCGGGCGGTGTGCTAGCGAGGATACTGAGCATCGAAGCAGGGTAGACATCAGGTGGTGTGCCAGTGAGGATGTTGGGCCCCAAGGAGGGTGGGCACTAGATAGTATGCCAGTGAGGACAGTGGGCCCCTCAAGGGAGGTGGATTGTGAGATCCCACATCGATTGGAGAGGGGAACGAGACATTCCTTATAAGGGTGTAGATACCTCTCTCTAGTAGACGCATTTTAAAACCTTAAGGGGACGCCCGAAGGGAAAGCCCAAAGAGGACAATATCTGCTAGTGGTGGACTTGGGCTGTTACAACTATGTTTCTTCCTTTCTCACGTGGAAATTATGTCAAGTATTTGTATGATGATTTCATTCAAGTATTTAGGTAGACACTTTATTTCGGTTTAATGGATTATTTTTCCAAAACTAACTAAGAAGCATGTTATTGCTGTTGTTTGCTATTGAAAATTCCTGTTGTTCCCATGTCCTCATTTCATGAAATTGTAACGACACCTTATACTACTTTATAATATAACGATCTTCATGTTCCTTTGCAGAATGCACTTCTTGAGCTTGTGAGAGTGGTGAAGGCGCAAGAGCAGGTGGTAGCTGGTACAATGCACCATCTCACTCTTGAGGTTGTTGATGCTGGTAAAAAGAAGCTCTATGAAGCCAAGGTCTGGGTGAAGTCATGGATGAATTTTAAAGAACTTCAAGATTTCAAGCATGCAGGCGATGTCCCTTCAATTACTCATTCTGATCTTGGCGCTAAGAAAGGTGACCGACATTCTTTAACTCGTGCAGTGTTGTTTTAATTATAATTTAAATATAGCTTTGAATATACAACCAACGTCAAACGCAATGTGCCGAAGTTGTGGACTCAGTATTTTTCTTGCATAGGAGGTAGTTTTTGGTTGAAGTCATTCATAACTTCTTCTTGCAGGTTGATAAAATCTGAAGTTGTGATTTTGTATCTTTTCTAATTTACTAAGGGTTGTAATTCTTGCATATGATTTCTTCATGTGAACAAAACCTGCATCAATCACCATTTAGTTTCCTCCCTGTGATTTTGTGGTAATGATAGTAGCTCTATTAGCCAATGTAAGCATAGTTCATCACAACACATGTACCATCGACTAAGAGATCAAAAGTTTGTATCTTCCATCCTACATATTTTGTACTCTGTGGGGGCAAGCTCGGACACATTGAGTACACCCTAACTTCCAATTGAAGGAATAAGGGATCCATGGATAAAGGTGGAATTTTTGCTAATCGTATAGGGGATCTTTTAATGGAGAAGATTTGTCGACCTAAGACGAAGAGAAGGGTCTATCTATTTTATTTAGTTAATAAAAAAACGTAAGTAGCTCTGATACGGAGCATGAGCCATCCATTAGCATTATTACTTTTACATAAGCTTATTAGGATTCTTGTATGTTTGTATAGTATTCATATAAAGCATCAAAGCTGTAATGTATTTGCTGTTCTTTTAACTGTTCCAAAAAAAATCCTTGCACAATCACTGTTATCTTTTCCATATTACTGACCCTGGTTAGAAATCAGGTGATCATCCCCAGGGATGGCGAGAAGTGCCACCACACGATCCTCACGTTCAGGATGCAGCACAGCATGCTGTTCGGACCATCCAGCAGAGATCTAATTCCCTACTTCCCTATGAATTGCTGGAAATCATACATGCAAAGGCAGAGGTAAGTGCATTGTGATTCTTTCATGTATTATATCCTTCTTTTGATTGTGGAATTGAAACTTTATCATCTTGATTTTATATTTTAGACGTGAATGACCGACCATGAAGGTACATTCATCTCTGAAGGCATCAATAGGACCCACTTTTTAATGATTCACTGCGTTTTCACCCATTTGTTTTTAAGCTTTGATGATGATATCATTTTGGTTAGCTTAACTTTTAATGGCTATCACTTCTATCAACCTAAATACTAATGACATATTTTACCTTGAAAAAAAGGTAGGTGGTTTGTTGGTTAGAGTATTAGAAAATATTGATTTCGTCAACTCCTAGACGTTCATTCATATCCATATGTGCACTTTATGAAAAATTTCTGAAGTTGAAGACTCAACATTATAAATCACAAATCGGATTGAATTTGTTTCTATGCTAATGGAGACTTCACGATGCTACGAAAACAGGTGATCGAAGAGGCTGCGAAGTTCGATTTGCTCCTAAAGCTGAAGAGAGGGAATAAAGAAGAGAAGTTCAAAGTGGAAGTTCACAAGAACAATGAAGGTAACTTCCTTCTGAATCAGATGGTGCAAGATCAATCTTAGACAAGCTCCGAATGCGCAATAAAAAGATAAACAATCGCTATCGAAACTTGAACTCGTCTTCTTACTTGAATTTTACACCAATGTCTTGAGAACTTGTGGATCTGTGATTTACTTTTGTTCTGGTTTGGTTAATTCGTGCTTGGATTGTTCAAGTGAACGGGTTACAGGAATTCGGGTTCGTGTATCATGAGTCTGGGATTTGTATGTATTATGTATGATGGGTCCTTCCAGTTTAATATGTATCAACTTTATAAGGAAACTTCAAAAGGCGACTTAATAGGTCCTTCCAGTTTCAAATAGGTTTATGAAGTTTTAGAGAGTTTCGAATCCACTTCTAAGCAAAGGGTCCAAAGGACACGTAGCAGGATTTGGCCCGAACTGTTCGGCAGATTTCCACGTTAATACAGTGAAGGTCAAAGTCGTATTGAACTTTCCAGAGATCTGAGTTATGGTATGCAGATTTAATCTGAAAATTATTTGTTTTAAGGTTGGGGAAACAATTATTAACTTTTTTCTTTTTAAAGCATCTTTTTTTTAAAAGTAACTTAAAAAATTCTATCAATTTTGGAGAAAAAATTTGATTTTGTGAGGATAACAGGAAATCAATCTTATTTTCTTTTAAAATTTATTATGGAGAAGCTCGAAAAGTAGTAGTAAGATTGTTTCGATGTCAATTTCAAATTTTCATAATCGATTCACTCAATAGTTTTTTTTTTAATGTAGTTTTCATATGGAAAAGGTGGAAAAAAAATTGTTTGTTCGATCTTGTTCTTCTATAATAATTAATTGTAATAAAATTGTGTTAACTCAATTGACTAAGGTAGGTATATCTTCATCTCCTTCGGATACATAAGAAAATCTAAATGGTAAGATGAAGGACCAACGAATCGTCTGGTGCAATAAAATCACGAACCAATTTACTTGAGCAATGACAACTAATAATCTCGAGTAATTTAATTCACACGACATCTTCGGATACATAAGAAAGGAGGTCCAGCGAATTGTCTAATGCAATAAAATCACGAACCTGTTTACTTGGGCAACGACGACTGAGTAATTTAATTCACATGATCACATGACATCTTCCGATACATAAGAAAGGAGGTCCAACGAATTGCCTGGTGCAATAAAATCACAAACTTGTTTACTTGGACAATGACAACGAGTAATTTAATTCACATGACATCTTCGGATACATAAGAAAGGAGGTCCAGTGCATTGTCTGGTGCAATAAAAATACGAACCTGTTTACTTGGGCATCGACAACTAATAATCTCGAGTAATTTAATTAGGGTTTCACACGACATGCACCTATCAGCTTCCAAGAAAAAGAGCAAAGTAGAAGGAAAAAGAAAAAAAAAAAGTAGAAGCTACTGTTAATGTTATGGATTACATAATGAACAAGCTATTACATTCAACAGCTACAGACCTAATGTTAGATTGAGAAACCAATATACTTAGAACATTAAGAAGTAAGAAACAAAAAAAAGGAATAAATCAGAGAAAGGATTTCAGATAGAAAGAACTACTAAACTACACATATTCAAACTCCAATTCTCTGATTCTTCTTTAATTTCTTTCTTTGCCTTCTTAAAACTGACCTTCTTCCCTCTGTAGTGTTTTTGCTTGCTTGCTGCTTCAATGGAGGTTACTCCTCTTCATCATAATCTTCCTCTTCCTCGTCTACTCTTGTGCTGAGATGTGCATATTGGAGAGGGTCGATTGCCATTTTGTCGACGTCCGAGAGAGGCCAGGCAGGGAATTCATCATCAGCAGCAGCAGCAGCAGGAGCAGCAGCTTTAGCCTCGGATTCGGTGGTAGTAGGCCCGGTTGGTTCGACAGGCACTTCTGGTATTATGGCTGCTGCTGCTGCTGCTACAGTCTTGTTGGAGTCTTCGTTGGTATTGACGACATCGGCATTAAGATCAAAGTTTTGAATAGCTTGATTGGCTTCTTCACTGACTTCTTTTGATGTTTTGCTTGGCTCGACATGATGCTCCATCTGCACATCTGGATTGGGGCTCTTGTTCCTGTTTTCTATAGATGTGCAAGCGTCGGCTTCGGGATTAGGTGGGATGTTGTCTCTTTCAGCTGTTCGAGCTGGTCGTCCTCGACCCCTTCCTCGTCCTCTTCCTCTTCCTCTACCAGTGCTGCCATGGCTCATGTCATGCTGGAGGAGGAAAGCAAATGATTTATTGGGTACAATGACTTCATTATGCATTTCATGAAAGCTCGGTCTATCGGTCTCTTATTAAAATAGTTCAAATTATAAGTTTAGTCCCTATAGTTTAAAATGTTAGAATTAGTCCCATGGCCAAATGAAAATCCTAAAAACTTTGTCCCTACAGAGGAAGTATTTTATCGAACCATAAAGATTATTTAAGGTTTTATCACGCCATAAGGATAAAATTCGAACTTTTAAAAGAATAGAAACTAAATTCTAACCTTTCTCCGACCAAATTTATAAGTTAACCAATAAAATAATTCTCGGAGATTTTCTCGGTTAAAAAAAATGCAAATTTAACAGATATTTGATTAGTTAGGATGAAAGAATAATTACCATCCTGATCTTCTTCAACTCATCAATATCATTGCCCTCATCACCAAGGGGCTTCCTGATCAGATATTAAGCACGTTAAGTTATCTACTGATCATAACAAATATCTGAGTAAGAAAGTAACTATATTATACCTCCTCTTTCTATCATCAACAGCACCATCAGAATGACCATGACCATAATCGGGAACCCGACTAACAATATCCCTCAGAAAATCGAAGACGCTATAGCTTTGTACACAGTGCTTTCTGTAATAAAAGTTCAAAAATAACTGTAAGACAAACCGATGTCGAAAAACAAAGCAATCAGATTTGGGGAGACAAATGAGGAATGGGGAAGAGGGTATGTATGTGATGATAACAATTACCAGTGAAGTTGTAGGGTCACGAAAGGAATTAACCAGTTAGAAGCAAAAGGTAAAAACTGTAAATTTTCCGAGTTTGAATGTATGGGATTCACAAAACTTCATAAAACAAATCGATTGAAATACGCTCTTACAGGTGGAACGAGTTCATTGTCTTTGCTCCTCTTTGTAGAGTTATCTCATAAGTTCGATCACAGAGGTCTTGCAAGAATAGCTCCAATGCTTTAGCTGGATTAAATGTGAAGAAACATTAGCTATCATAAATGTCTTAAATGGAACACCTTATGATATTGAATACTACTGAACCATCATTAATGTTTGCTTACAAACTAAAACAGGTACTGCCAGTGCTATCTTTCCAACATCCTCATCTGCTTGCATTATCTTTTTTATTCGAGCCTGCAAAATTATGTCGTTCATCAGATAACAATGAACTAAAAATCCAATCAAGATTTAGGATTCGATCGAGATTTTAAAGTTCACTGAAACAATTATCCTTCCACGCAGTTGAACTGATAATTTCCTATATGTTAAAATTCCACCAATAAAAAATGTACAGCAAGTCAAATCATCAAGTAAACGCCAGGCCATAATATGCCAAATTATGTTTAGAAGGGGGCTCCCATGATCCCCAACAACCACCACCCGGAGAAGCAATAGCAAGACAATTGATATCTGGTGTCACCAATCATCTTAAAAACTTAAGGACAAGCATGAAAATCTATATCGAGCAACAGCAAGCATAGGATAATTGCAACTGTCAAGCATATAACATCCAGCTATCTATGATGATGTCGGCACATCAGTCAGGGAACCAACTATTAATTCATTCAATTATTTTAACATCAATTCATAGCGTATTGTGCTACAATGCTTCACACGTTTCCAAGAAATCATTTGAATACCATTTAATGACAGGACCATGGATTGTAATAAAATAGAGATTGTCAAAGAACACCCTTTGGAAATGAATATAATGTCCCGTGCAGATTCTATGCTGAAAATTTTCCTTCTCTTTTTTTTCCTTTCTTTCTTTTTTCCCAAGAACTAAGCTTTCATTGAGCAAAATAAAAGAAAACAAAAAGGCTTCCTAAAAAATCACAAGCCCAAAACATGTATGTCGAGATGCCGATGCAACATTTTCAAGTAAGGAAACCATGAACCCCACATCCAAATTCTAGAAGTTTGAAAATTCTTTACTATCTTTGTAAACAAAAGGAATAAAAATTTGCCAACCAAATCATTTATAAACTATCAAATTATCTATAAACTTTATATTCTAGAGTTTCTATATTAGAAAAGGATAGCTGACATGAGTGAAAGAAAAAGGCCATCTTAGATACTCAAGGCTTCAATACGCATGATCATGTTAGAGGATAAGTTTTAAGGATTTTCACCAAACGGACTGACAGACATCTTCTAGAGACCTAAGAGTCCCAAATAAAAAGTATATAGACACAAACCAACTCTAATTTATACGGGTCAGAATTGTACAAAAAGAGGGAGGCAGAGAATCAACTCCTCAGAGCCTATCAAAGCCAAAAAAAAAAAAAAAAAAAAAAAAAACTACAATTGTTACGGATCATGTATTTTAATTACAGAAGAACTGGATAGAGCGTAGGAGAACCACTGACAACTTCATCATCTTCCGGATTTCTCGTCAATCTCTAACTTTCTCCTAAAAAATTCAGAATTTAAGGAATAAACATCTATTTGGAACCAATGTTCAAAGGTTTGCAGTAGAATTGGTTCTTTTCTTCGTATAGGAAAATAAATCTTCCGTATAGTAGTTGTTTACTTGTTTTTTCAATCAAATTTTATATAAGATTTCAAAGCTAGTGTATAATGAAGAGAATTTTATGCAGGACGTGGAGAAAAACTAATATAAATAAGAATGTTACAATTTACTCAATACCATGAAGAACGTTGAGTGTTATTAACAAAAAACCTAGAAAGGAGGTGATAGAGTTAGGGTCAATCTTTGTGCTTTAGTATCACGAGGACACAATCACGTCCTCCGCCTGTGAGCTTTAGCCAGTTTGATTTCAGTTAGGTTTCTCTAAGCTTTTGGAGTAGCTATGTCACGCTATGTTCGATGAAATTCACTTTCATTCTCCCTTTCGTACGAAATATCAATTGTTGTGGATATGGGGGTCCTTGTAAGGTAAACTAAGAGTTTGTAACTAGATTCGAGTATGATATAGCAAAGAGCTTAAGTTCGCACGTGATTTAAGTTACCATATAATTCCTCTTAGGGGTACGATATGGCAAGTCAGGTTAGAGAGGAACAAAAGGGTTTCTTCAGGTTAGACATATTGAGAGGATTCTAGGTCCATTGTTCACTTCCCTGCCTCCCTTTCAGCTTCTTAATGCAATTTATTTCTAATGCTGCTCTCGCTATCAGAGTTAAGAATTGATGTGCCTTTTTCAATCAGGTTTCTCTTTCTTAACAGCCCCATTATGTTGGCAGGAACAAAGAAAAATATTTTTTTTTATCAAAAAAAAAAAAAAAAAACACTGTATCTTTGCAAGCTTAATCACTATGTATTTTCCCCCCAGCAGGAAGAGGAAGAAAAAAAGCCATAAATTTAAGCTTTAAAAGCTCTAATGCGTCAAAATCAACCAAATATATGATATCAACGATGATTAAATTCATTTCCCAGGCCTATACAGTAATGGATCCGTAATTAATATTTGATACTATGAACTGAGCAGGACAAGTTGCAGACGAACAAAACTACAGAGTTAGCTTAATTAACACAGACAAAGTAATCAAACGCATTTTATACAGTAAAAATTCCCGCCATATAAGGAATACATCAAAACATCGCACGAAAACGACCAGATGATAATAATGATAGGAAAAATTAAGAAAAAAGTTTGAAAAAAAATGCACGAATCATCGGACGAAACTGTACGCCATGTTCTCTTCGCAATAGCAGAAATTAGCAAACAAACAAATTTTCCAATCAATTCGTTAGAAACAGAGCAGTATTATCAATTTGATCGAAAGAAAAAAAAAAAAAAAAAAAAACAGGAACAGAAAATATCGAACTTACAGCAGGAAAGCGGGTATCGAGCTTCTTCCTCATGGCGTCAGATTCGAGACATTCAAATGGATCAAAAAATATATGAAAAAACGAAGAAACAACAGCAGAAAATTGGCAGAACTTCAGCAGAATCCGATTACCATTTCGATCAATGGACAATCAACACAGAAATTCATCGAAGCAATCTCAGATCCAGGAGAAATTAGGGTTTTTATCATAAATGGCTCTACGATGAAGAAATTAGAAATAGAACCCAGAAATTTGAAAATTGTAAAAGTAGCCCACTTTTTGAGCGAAAAGACTATAATACCATAATTTGATGACCTGGCATGGAAAATCCAACCTCTCTGACAAGTGGGATTTTGATCGTTCAGTTCAGATTTTCTGGTGGTTTAATATTTATTTATATGAATAAATAAATTAGATTTTCTAAATTAATTCAATAATATTTTTTTAAAAGTTCAATAATTAAAGAATTTATAAATATTTTGTTTCAATGTATAGATTGTAACGCCATCTGTGGGGATCGAACCCACGACCACGTGGTTAAAAGCCACGCGCTCTACCACTGAGCTAAGATGGCTTGTCTATCAAATCAAAATTTTACTGTTCTCGAGTTTGACTAACTAGATTGATAGTTGAATTGTATCACATATTCTAAACCTTAACCTCTTGATCGAGAGTGTATTTTTTTTTGTTTCAATCGAGTCATGCTTGGGTTTGACTAACTAGTTTGACTAACGTTAACCTCCATTTCTCGTCTAAACCGTGAATCTTCGCTTTGAGGTTAGTCCCGCGAGGCTCCGACCCCACGGATTAAATGGACATCTCTAAAACGAACCTAATTCATAAAATTTTCTATGAACCCTAACCCAACGACCCAACTCAAATCGTTGGGTTGAGTTTATAAAAAAAATTTAGGTCATCCAATTTTTTTTTAACACCCTTAATTATAATTAAATAATATCTTAAATGTAAATTTGAATAAAAAAAAATGTTGATAAAATTAATTTATATAAAATCACATAAATAAATAATATGTTCAAACCAATATCTTTTATTTCACTAAATTGGAATTACAATATAAAAATATTTTATTAATTTTTATATCTTTAGTACTTTAAAATAAAAATTTCACGTTTTAAAAAACTGTTAAATTAAAATAATCTTAAATTTAAAAAAAAAAATATATATATATATTATAACATTTCCAACCTGGACACCTTTAATTTTAATAAATAAAAATAAAAATAACTAAAAAATAATCAAAATTATTTTAAATCTTAGTTATAACATTAAATTTAAAAGCTCAAAATTTCAAAGATTAAAAAAAATAATAATGTTATCCATTTTCTTTTTCTATTTAAAATAAAAAAAAATAGAAACAAAATTTAATTAATAACTTCATCCACAAGGCTGAATTTCAAAATTTTGTGGAATTTAGTGTTATTTTTCCAATTATTTTTATATTATTATTTTAATTAAAATAATATTAATAAAGGTTTCGTATATTACGAAGCTAAAGGTGTGGTGATGGCTATGGTTCCTCAATCGAATATCCGTTACGAGAAAAAATAAAAAATAAAAATAAATAAATAATTCTAAAAAGGAAAACGACGTCGTAGTGATCTAAGTCAATGTCCATGAGCACATGAATTGCACACACGTTCGATCATTCTCTTTGTTCATGATTTTCTCTTAATTCTCTTTAATTAAAATATTAATATTTTATTTTGGTCGAATAATTTTGATATTTTATATTTTTAAATATCGTACCTGTTGAATATTAAACGTTTTCTAACCACATTACCTACGGATATTAAACTACTACCCAAACTCACCATTATCCGATATTGTCAGCTTTAATCCATTACGTATCGCGATTTTAAAATACATTTGTTAGGGAGAGGTTTCCACGCACTTATAAAAAATGTTTCGTTCTCGTCTCTAACCGACGTAAGATCTCACAGTTTTTAAGTGTGAAGACTATCTCCACATACCAACACGAGCTCATTTACCATACTCCGTCTTCATTTACACGCTTTTTAGAAAAAAAAATTCAAAAGATCATCGAATATAGAATTACTCTTAAAAAAAAAAAGGTATAATTTTAATTCTTTTTAACATTTATTAATCATTATATCCTTAAGATTGCTCTCGTTTAAATATGGTCTCGGTTCATTTATGTACCTTTTTGTTACCTAGATGTCACACTAAAAATGTATCGAGCGATCCTTAGGAGTTATTTTTAATTTGTTACGTGCTTCACAATTTTATAAGAAGCTAAATGACGGTTAGTCCACTGGAATAAGGGGTCGAGAGTAAAGGTTTTACCGAACTATGCATACATTAGATCAATCAAAACTTCATACGCCCAAAACCGCTAAAGACGAGATCTAGCATCATGGATAATAGTAGCTTAAACTTCAATTTTATGTCTAGGTCCGTGAATTAAAAAAATCAAATAATTTAAAAACTTATTTAATATAAAAAAATGATTGGATATGAAATAAAATATTTAAAAATTTATTAAACATTTTCAAAAATAAAATTAAAAATTTATAGATTAAATTTATAATTTAATTAGTTAAAAAAAAGAAAATTTAATTTTGTTTTAATAAGTGGATTTTTTTTTGTAATAAATTATATATATATATATATATATATATATATATATATATATATATATTCTTATAAATTTAAATTATTTATTTAATTTAAAACTAGATTTTTTTTTTTTTAAAACATGTTGTAATTTATGAATTTATTTTAAAAATTAAGAAATTAATTAAAAGTTGAAGAATTTATTAATTTTTTTAAAAGTTTGTAATAAAAAATAATATTATAATTTAAAGGAAAGAAAGAAGAAGAAAAAAGAAATTAAAAAGAAAATGGAGGAAAGTGAAGACAAAAAAGGAGGCAGTTCGGGTCCGTTGGTGAAAACAATACTGTCCAAAGGATTCAGGGATGCTCCGCCTCGCTTCCCGCTCTTCCTCTTTTATGTGCAGAATCGTTCAATTCTCTTCCATTTTCCATGTTTCAATTCCAACAATCCTTCTCTTTCTCTCACCCTTCTTTCGGATCATCCTTTGGATTTTGTACAATTTTCTCGTTTCCCCAAATTCCCATTCCAATCTTGTTTTTCCGCGTTTTCTTTCAGACCCATTTCGAGATTTTTGCTGTAATCGAGCTAGATTTTCACCTCTGTAATGGATGATCAGTTTGAAGATGATGAACGGGAGGCATTGGCGGTGTTGAGCCCTGTTCCTCCTCCTCGGAAATCTCATTCTTACAGCCAGCCGCTTCGAGCTGGATCCGATCAGAAGCATCATCAGCTTCGGAAGCACAGTTTTGATGAGGATCAGATTCCGAAGCCTATGGACTCGTATTTGGATTCTTCTGATGATGATTTTATGCCCTATTCGATGTCGTCGGCTATTGAAAGTGAGGAGTTTCTCTCCCAGAGGTTGGATCAGAATCTCTGTATGGACGGCGGCGGAGGTCTCGAGGATTCGCGGCAACCTCAGGCATTGGCGGAGTTCGTTGGGAGCGGTGGCTCGACGGGGGTTTTTAAGGTTCCGATTCGTGCCTCTGTTCATCCTGGCCGCCCGACGTGCCTGGAGTTGAGGCCGCATCCATTGAGGGAGACACAGATGGGGAAATTTTTGAGGAACATTGCGTGTACAGAGACTCAGCTGTGGGCTGGGCAGGAATGTGGGGTGCGGTTTTGGAACGTTGAGAATGCTTATGAACCTGGTAGTGGATTGGGTGGGAGGGTGAGGAGGGGCGATGAGGATGCTGCCCCTTTTTATGAATCCACCAACACCTCGCCCACCATGTGTTTGATTATTGACAATGGGAACAGATTGGTGTGGACTGGGCATAAGGATGGGAAGATCAGATCATGGAAGATGGATCAGTCTTTGGATGATATGCCTTTCAAGGAAGGGCTTTCATGGCAAGCTCATCGGGGTGCTGTTCATTCCATGACCCTAACTTCTTATGGTAAGCAATTTTTTCCTCAAGAAAAGTCTAAAATGGCATGTTAAAATTGGTAAAAAGAGAGGGTTCTACTAACTAAAATGGCTGTTCATTCCATGACCCTAACGTCAGACTCATAGTCGTCCACTGTTGGTTCTGAATGTTTTGCAATTTTCGAAATCAGGAAATCACTGTGTATTTCTTATCTATGTTGCTGTGCTATGATGTGATATCCTATGTTGGTTGGAGAGGGGAATGAAACATTTCCTATAAGTGTGTGGAAACCTCTCCCTAGTAGACACGTTTTAAAACTATGAGTCTGACGGTGATACGTAATGGGATAAAGCAGACAATATATGCTAGCGGTAGGCTTAGGCTGTTACAAATGTTATCGGAGTCAGACATCGAGCGGTGTGCTAGTGAGGATGCTGGACCTCCAAGGGGGTGGATTGTAAGATCCCACATTGGTTGGTGAGGGGAACGAAGCATTCCTTATAAGGGTGTGGAAACGTCTCCCTAGTAGACACGTTTTAAAACCGTGAGTCTGACGGTGATACGTAACGGGATAAAGCGGACAATATCTGCTAGTGGTGGGCTTGAGTTGTTACAAATGGTATCAGAGCCAGACATGGGCGGTGTGCCAATGAGGACGTTGGGCCTCCAAGGGGGTGGATTGTGAGATCCCATATCGATTGAAGAGGGGAACGAAGCATTCCTTATAAAGGTGCGGAAACCTCTCCTTAGTAGACGCGTTTTAAAACCATGAGTTTGACGGCTATGCGTAACGGGACAAAGCGGACAATATCTGCTAGCGGTAGGCTTGGGCTGTTACATATGAGATTTTCTTTGTCCTAGAAATTTGTTAAAAAAACAGGCAATTTTAGTGATGGCATGAATGCAAGAATAGGAGAAATCATATGAGTCCTCACCCCATCTGGTATTTGCTTCAATGTGAGTTGTACTGTGAAGACTTGGTTTGAAGATCTTAGGTTCATAAAACCACCATTTTGTCATTGAAATACTTTCTTACATGAACCAAGCAATGTACTTAAAAGGGTATTACAAGTTACAAGCAACTTTGCCTCTACCGATTTTTGGCTTTCCGTGTTCATTGATTTTACAGGTGACTTGTGGTCGGGTGGTGAGGGCGGTATTATTAAGGTCTGGCCTTGGGAAGCAATTGAAAAATCTCTTTGCCTTTCGTCCGGGGAAAGGCATATGGCTGCTTTACTCGTGGAGAGGTCGTATATTGACCTCAGGAGTCAAGTAACAGTCAATGGTGTCTGTAGTATATCTTCTCAAGATGTTAAGTGCGTGTTATCTGATGAAGTTAGAGCCAAAGTTTGGTGTGCTGGGGCTCTATCATTCTCACTGTGGTAGGTATTCACTTCAGATATAATTCTATATAAAAGGCTAAGCATTTTGTTAAATGGCCTTCTTTCACTCTAATTTTTTGATGCTACAGGGATGCTCAAACAAAGGAGCTTGTAAAAGTTTTTAATATAGATGGTCAGACTGAGACTCGAGTTGATATGCTACAAGCCCCTCAAGATCAATCAGTGGAAGATGAAATGAAAGTAAAATTTGTATCCACAGCCAAAAAAGAAAAATCACAGGGCTTTCTCCAAAGGTCACGCAATGCCATAATGGGAGCTGCAGATGCTGTTCGTCGGGTTGCAAAGGGAGCAGGGGCATTTACAGAAGATATCAAGAGAGTCGAGGCAATATTGCTGGCCAAGGATGGGATGATTTGGAGTGGATGTACAAATGGCATGTTAGTGCAGTGGGATGGAAATGGAAACCGGTTGCAAGATTTTAACCATCACCCTTATGCTGTTCAGTGCTTTTGTGCTTTCGGGACACGGATGTATGTGGGTTATGTGAGCGGAGTTATCCAAATAGTGGATCTTGAGGGGAACCTAGTTGCAGGATGGGTTGCTCATAGTAGTCCTGTGCTGAAAATGGCTGTGGGTGCAGGATATGTTTTTAGCTTGGCTAGTCATGGTGGAATTCGTGGCTGGAACATGACTTCTCCAGGACCTATTGATAACATAGTACGGACCGAACTGGCTGCCAGAGAGGCGTCATACACAAGAAAACAGAATATCAAAATGCTGGTTGGCACATGGAATGTTGGACAAGGAAGAGCTTCTCATGAAGCATTGATGGCGTGGTTGGGTTCGACTGTCTCGGATGTTGGCATTGTTGTTGTTGGATTGCAGGAAGTAGAGATGGGTGCAGGTTTCCTTGCCATGTCTGCAGCAAAAGAAACAGTAAGATCTTCTGCACTCTATGATGGTGTATTGGAGTCTGGTTGTAGCTTGTGATGATGAAATATTTAGCCAAGTTTTGAAATCAAACTCTTTACGATGGAACCTACTAATGCAAAATCTTGATAGGAAGATAACTTAAGTCTAATGCCCTGTACGCATGCTCTCCGTTTTCTCTGTTTCTTAGCTGTGAATTATCTATACTGTTGTAACTTGTAACCGCCCAAGCCCATAGCTAGCAGATCCTCTTTGGGCTTTCCCTCTCAAGGTTTTTAAAATGCATTTGCTAGGGTAAGGTTTCCACAACCTTATAAAAAATGTTTTGTTCTCCTCTCCACCCGATGTGGGATCTCACAATCCACCCTCCTTCTGGGCCAGCATTCTCCCTGATGTGGGACCCCCCAATCCACCCCCTTCGGGGCCTAGTGTCTTTGTTGGCACACTGCCTCTTGTCCACCCCCTTCAGGGCTCAACCTCCTCGCTGGCACATTACCCGGTGTCAGGCTCTTATTCCATTTGTAATAGCCCAAGCCCACCGCTAGCAGATTTTGTCCTCTTTGGGCTTTTCCTTTTAGGCTTCCCTTTAAAGTTTTTAAAATGCATCTGTTAGGAAGAGGTGTCCACACCCTTATATATAAAGAATATTTGGGATCTCAAAATGACTGGTATATTTCTCACATGCATAATATCTGTTTGACATTCTGATTATTGACATACATTTTTATAGTCATTCAAAGTTTGCTGCCTTTACCTGAAAAAGAAAAAGATTATGACAACTGCAGGTAGGACTTGAAGGCAGTGCAGTAGGACAATGGTGGATCGATACCATTGGAAAGGCCTTGGAGGAAGGGACGATTTTTGAACGCATGGGTTCCAGGCAGCTGGCTAGCTTGCTTATTTCTCTTTGGTTAGCACTGTAATTTGAATATTAGATGTAATTATTCTTTTATAACATTTAGAATAAGTTGTCAGTTCTATCACACCACTAAATGAAATTTCCTGTTAACTTTCTCATATTTGTATGGATTGTTCCTAATTCAATATGCTAATATTTCATGTCAGGGTGAGGAAAAGTGTTAGAATGAATGTTGGAGATGTTGATGCTGGAGCCGTTCCTTGTGGTTTTGGTCGTGCAATCGGTAATAAGGTTTGTTTATCTTTCAGAAGTTCGTTAGTTTTCGTGTATGAAAATTACTCGTTCTTAATATCTTGAATAGGCCTTTCATGTCCCTGATGTGGCTGTTGACTCGGATAAAACTGATTCGACAGGGAGGTGTAGGTTTGAGAATCCGAGTCTATGATAGGATAATATGCTTTGTGAACTGTCACTTGGCTGCACACTTGGAAGCAGTAAACCGTCGTAATGCCGATTTTGATCACATCTTTCGAAACATGGTCTTCAACCGATCATCTAACCTTCTAAATAATGCAGCTGGTATGGTGCCATACCTGTTTTTGTCTTGCTCTCTTGCCTTCTCCACATACTTATTTTGGCTGCTTTACTTTTCTGGCTTGCCGTTCGCCCTCTCTATTGCAGCTGGTGTCTCGACTGCTGTTCATACGCTTCGAGCTACAAATGTATGTCTTGATGATTAATAAAACAGCATTTTTAGCTACTTTCCTTTTTATCATCCACTATGTTTATCTCTTGTTGGTAATTTAGGTTGCTGCTGTCAATCCTGAAGAACCAAAACCCGAGTTATCTGATGCAGACATGGTTGTATTTCTGGGTGATTTTAATTACCGGCTCTTTGGCATTTCGTACGATGAAGCCCGGGACTTCGTTTCCCAGAGATGCTTTGATTGGCTTAGAGAAAAGGATCAGCTTAGGGCTGAGATGAAAGCTGGAAGAGTTTTCCAAGGCATGCGTGAGGCACTCATTAGATTTCCTCCAACATACAAGTTTGAAAGGCATCGACCAGGCCTAGCAGGTATATGGCTCAAGAGGTTCACCATGTTGTCTACAGTGAAACTTGTTAACATTTTCATATACCTTTTCCAGGATACGATTCTGGCGAGAAGAAACGTATTCCTGCCTGGTGCGACCGAGTAATATATCGTGACAATCGTTCATCTCCCATGTCAGAAAGCACTTTAGAATGCCCTGTAGTATCATCTATTTTATTGTGAGTATCAGCTTTTGGAGGAGTTTTCTGTTGTTTCCTTAACTCTTTTTTCCTTATGCTCGAGACTATGACGTACTTGTAGGTACGAGGCCTGCATGGAAGTGACCGACAGCGATCACAAACCCGTTAGATGTAAATTTAACCTTCAGATTTCCCATGCTGATAGGTCAGTGAGGAGAAAAGAGTTCGGAGATATTATAAAATCTAACGAGAAAGTGAGATCTATTTTCGAAGAGTTATTATACGTTCCCGAAACCATTGTCAGCACCAACAGTATAGTTCTACAAAATCAGGAGTCATCTGTTCTCTGCATAACCAATAAATGCGTGAAAGATGTGGCTACTTTCAAAATTATCTCAGAGGGACAATCTTCTATCAAGGATGAAGGTGATCAGCGCGATTATCTTCCAAGAGGCGCTTTTGGCTTTCCTCGGTGGCTTGAGGTATCGTCTTATGCCTTCTGATTAGATGTAAATGCAAACACAAATCATTATTGGCCTAGGTAACGTATATCTGTTTAGAGAAAGGATACAGACCTAATTGTGAGATTCCACATTAGTTGGAGAGAGGAATGAAACATTTTGTATAAGGGTGTGGAAACCTCTCCCTAGTAGACACGTTATAAAACCTTGAGGGAAAGCCTAGAAGAGAAAGCCCCAAGAGGACAATATCTACTAGTGGTGGATTTGGGGTGTTACAAATGGTATTAGAGCTAGGCATCGAGCGGTGGGCCAGCGAGGACGCTGGGCCCTCAAGGGGGTGGATTGTCAGATCCCACATTGGTTGGAGAGGAACGAAACATTTCTTATAAGGCTGTGAAAACCTCTCCCTAGTAGACGCGTTATAAAACCTTAGAAGAGAAAGCCCAAAGAGGACAATATCTACTAGCGGTGGATTTGGACCGAAACAAATGGTATTAGAGCTAGGTACCGAGTAGTGGCCAGCAAGGACGCTGGGCCCTCAAGGGGGTGGATTGTGATATTCCACATTGACTGGAGAGAGGAATGAAACATTTCTTATAAAGGTGTGGAAACCTCTCCCTAGTAGACACGTTTTAAAACCGTGAGGCTGATGGCAATACGTACACACCGAAGTGGACACTATCTACTAGCGGTGGACTTGAACCGTTACACTAATAGCTTAAAGAGAGTTGGTTTTGGACCGATCTTTCATACGAGAAATCGACATTTGTTTCTGGCCAATCCTCTTTCAGCTGAATATTGCATAATTTACAATTACAAGCTTACCTTACCAATATTTATAGTTCTGAATTTCTGCCTCATGACAAGTATGCGACTAATTTTAGGACGCTTAAATCTCACATTGCATGATATTAATGGTACAACTTATATAACTGGTTGGGTTGATTCCCTTTATATTTAAGGCTGCTCCAATGCATTAGGCTCCTGCCACTGCCAATGATTTTTTTTGCCCAGTTAAAAGGAGTTTTTTGGTCTCCAAAATAGGTGGATTGTAAGATCCCATATCGGTTAGAGAGGGGAACGAAACATTCCATTTAAGAGTGTAGAAACCTCTCCCTAGTAGATGCGTTTTAAAGCCGTGACACTTACAGCGATACGTAATGGGCCAAAGCGGACAATATCTGTTAGTAGTGAGTTTGAGCGGTTATAAATGGTATCAGAGCCAGACATTGGGCGACGTGTGCCAGCGAGGATGCTGGGACTCCAAGGGGGTGGATTGTGAGATCCCACGTTGGTTTTAGAGGTGAACGAAGCATTCCATATAAGGGTATGGAAACCTTTCCCTAGTAGACACATTTTAAAGTCATGAGGCGGACAGCGATACGTAATAGGCCAAAATGGACAATATCTGCTAGTGGTGGGCTTGGGCTTAGGCTCTTACAAAATATTATGCATATCATAACGAGCTTTTCTTCCCTGCGATATTTCTCTTACTCATGTTCTTTCTAATTGTAGGTATCACCAGCTGCCGGAATAATCAAACCCGAACAAGCTGTCGAGATATCGGTACACCATGAAGAATCCCATACCCTAGATGAGTTTGTTGATGGCATCCCACAAAACTGGTGGTCCGAAGACACACGAGACAAGGAAGTTATGTTAACTGTCATCATACGAGGAAGTTGCTCGACCCGATCAGTCAATCACCAAGTCCGTGTGCGCCATTGCTTCTCAAACAAGACGGTTCGTGTCGACCCTAAGTCCAGCAGTACTAAAAAATCTTAAAAAAAAGATTCTTTGATTCACTGGCAATTCTTTTCTGATTTGGTCCATAAAATAGCTTCCTATGCTCAGATTGTTTTGCAATGTTAGTTAACCTCAGTATGCATGTATATGTAAATAGCCTGGCAACTGTTTTAGCCATCATAGTAGAGGTGGCTGAAGATCAAGGTCTTCAGATTCTTTCCAGTCCAAAGATACTGTAATTTGTAGATCATTTCTTCAAGAATGTACAAAGAAATTCTACATGCATACAACTGGTTATCTGCTCAATTAGTGAGATATCTCATAGTCCTCCCCTCCCATTCACAGTTCTTTCTTCCCTTTCTTAAAGATGTTCGCCATTTTTGCCCTTTGTGTGAGTAAACTTTGTTTGATTTTAGGTCAACCATGTGTTTGAAGCCATTTAAGATGGCTCGTTCGTTGCAATCGTGGCCTTCATAGATCATAAATGTTCGGGTGTGAGTGTTGTGAGATTCCACATCGTTTGGAGAGGGGAATAAAACATTCTTTATGAGGGTGTGGAAACCTCGCGTTTTAAAAACCTTGTGGGAAAGTCCGAAAGAAAAAGCTCATAGAGAGCAATATCTATTAGTGGTGAGCTTGGGGGCTATTAGAAATGATATCAGAGCTGGACACTGAGTCAGCAAGGACGCTGAGCCTCGAAGGGGGGTGGACACCGGGCGGTGTGCCAGTGAGGACGCTGGGCTCCGAAGGGGGTGGATTGTTAGATCCTATATTGATTGGAGAGAGAAACGAGTGCGATGAAGACGCTAGGCCTCGAAGGGGGGTGGATTGTGGGATCCCATATCGGTTTGGAGAGCATTCTTTATAAAAGTGTGGAAATTTCCCCCTAGCAGACACGTTTTAAAAACCTTGAAGGAAAGCTCGAAGAGGACAATATCTTCTAGCGGTGAGCTTGAGCTGTTACAAGCGTGCTCATTTTTTGCTAAAACACTTGCATATCGGTTTAAGAGCTTTAAACGCTTCTCTTACAACCATCTTGTATTTAGTTTTCAATTTTCTAGAACGTATGCTTCAATATAAAGAAAACTATCATATTAGCTACATAGTGAAAAGAAAAGAGGATAGAAAAGCAAATCGATTAACTATTGAGGAACACGAGAAAAAAATAAACAAGAGGAGAATAATAAGATGACTAACAAATAGGGGGTGTTCGTGGGTAGAGTGGGTCGGGTTGGGACATTCCCGCTTCATGATATAGCTCTTAAAATAGTCGATAATTTGCATTTAGAAAAATTAATAAATTATTGTTGGATCAATTTCAACTCTAAACTTCAAAATTCAAAAGAACATATTATAATAATCAGTAAAATAATACAAAATTGTTGACTTAGTAAAATGACCAAAGTAGACATATTATTACAATTATTTCTATTTTAATATTTAACATCTATTTTATTATAAATTTAATTGTTTAAAAATTTATATGATTTAAATAGAAAGTTACTTTAGTTTTGACTTCAGCTTTAGGCCAAACGAATTGATTTGATTAAGCTAATCTAATTCATCCCTTGACTTGTGTCGATATTCGATTCTTTTAGTTATATAGATAGAGATTTGAACCTTCGATAAAATAACCAAAACTCAAATAGGAGACGTAATCTAATGACATTAAGCTAATCTAATGACACGAAGAAATGACACTAGAACCGAAGAAACTAAGCATTTGACTTAATGAAGTTCTCGATCATTTCATATCCAAAAATCCTCCTCTGTTTCCACTAAAACACCTAACACATCAAAAACTACATTTCCATGAATGGCAAGATCAACAACCATTTTCAACCTGAAATATCTATACATAAAAGAAAAAAAAAATGCAGTATGGAGAGAGAAAACATTCCTTCTATGAGCTACTGTGAGCCAGACGAAGAATCTAACTTTCATGACGATACACACTTCTCGGATCCTCCTAAAGAGGATAGGGGAAGGAAGAAGAGTCGAGTCAAGACGACAGCACGCATGGCTGGTCTATAAGGCAAACGATTCTACAAGAGCAAGAGGAATTTAACCACTGTGCCCTAGAGTCGACAGGTAAAAGTTCAACGACACATCCTTGAAGCAGATTAAGAGATATCGACTCATCGGGCGAGAATAGTTTTTTATTCTTTTTCCTATTTTGTATTTCTCACATATGAATTAGTCGTACGTCTCCAATTTAATGGAGGAGTAAGGAACAATAGGTTCGAGGAGCACAATTACAACAATCAAAATCACTAGGGCAACACGAATAGACGAAAGTGTTTATTCAAAGATACAATTTTTCTTAGTTCATCATCAAGGTAGGAGATTCGAATATCTTGGTTAAGGGTACGTGTCGATTACCACTAAGAAGATACATTTTAAGATAGATCAAGAAAAGACATCAATCAATAACAACATACTTCAAGAACATGTATCATTTTTATACCAAAACGTAATATATTATTTGTGTCCTATATTATAATACGTCTATTAAGTATACATTACAGGTGCACAAGACATGACTGACAAATATTAGACATATATTGACTTTGTACACTAGTGTCTAACACATAACTATTGTACTAACATGTGTTCGTTACGTGTCCAACAAGTGTGAAGTGTCCAAGTGTTCGGTATGTGTCGGGTACGGACAAGCTAGTCAACCTTAGTGTCGGTACTACTTCTTAGGGTGGATTTCTTTCCAATTCTTCCAATAAGATTACTACAGCTCAAAGAAAATAAGTCTCCATCAGATTAAGAGAGTGAGAGGAGATCAACATGACAATAACTGTATGATGCACATTGAGCTTGTTAGTCCTTATCACCACAATCAACTACAGCGTCGAAGGAAACACCATGTCTTCATATCCACCAAACCAAAGAATAACATAAAGCAAGTTCATATAAATCAAGAGAAGACATCAATCAATAACTGTGACTGTTTTCAGGAGAAAAGATCAATAACTTGAGCAATCCATCGATTTTGAGGCATAGGTACTCCCTCTCCCACAACACACTCGTCGAGACGAAAGAAACCTCCCGCCATAGAGAAGAGATATCGACGTATGGGTACCCTCGATCACCCTTCCCTTTCACCTGAACTGATCGAGAGAGATTAACCTGCACCACATACATTTTCTAACCTTCGAACCGAAACTCCCTCAGATAGAATTCCAGAACCTAAACAACTCAGTTGAGAGCTCCGTGACTGGTTAAAGGGAAGGTCCACCAATGATTGATAGGCCATTCCCACCCTATCCGTCTCTTTCCCTCCTTTCGGGCCCTCTCCAACTGATGTGGAGAATGCTTTGTTTCCCTCTCCAACCGATGTGGGATCTCACAATTCAGCCCCTTGAGGACTCAGCGTCCTCGTTGACACTCGTTCTTCTCTCCAATCGATATGAGATCTCACAATCTCCTCCCCCTTTGGGGCCCAGCGCCTCTCTAGCACACCACCCGGTGTTTGGCTCTAATATCATTTGTAACCGCCTAAGTCCACCACTAGTAGATATTGTTCTCTTTAACCTTTCTCTTTTGGGCTTCTACTCAAGATATTTAAAACGTATATGCTAAGGAGAGACTTCCACACCCTTATAAAGAATGCTCCGTTCTCCTCTCCAACCGATGTGAGAGTCCAAAAAGAAAAGCCCAAAAAGAAAAATATCTGCTAGCTTGGGCTCTAAATGAACAAACCAAGAGGCACTATAAGGATTATATTTCTAATCCAGAATATGAAAGAAAAAGTATAATATCATTCACAAGTATACTATCATTCACATCAAACAGTAGGTACACAAATGATTTTGACACAAATATTATCCTTTTCCATACCCCTCTAACATTTAAATGCAAGAAAAATCATGATCAGAAAGGTAACAGATTTGAAATGAAAAGTAAAAAAGAGGACAAGATTCACAAAATTCTAACCTTCCAGTGATACTCCCGAAGGCCATCCAAATAGCAGCAACAGAGCAAAAGGGAAGCTTTTCCACAATCTTTCAGCCATTGTTATATTGAGAAATCCGGGAAGCCATGTTAGCAACTTGAGCTTGCAATTGAGACTCCCTGACTTTAGCAGCGGTACCCCGGTGGAAGAACTGCTCCCGTGACAACAGCCTCACATTCCTCAAGTACTGATCAAATTGAATTGCTCCATCTTGCACAGCCTTATCCAATGAATATATAGCATCTTCTATTGCCAAATCTGAAGCAGTACACTCAAGAATTTGCTTTGAAAGCACATCAACACATTCAAAAGCATCATCTACTTCGAAATCACTGCTAATCATCCCCTCATTCTCCCTCACCCAAGCTTCCAAAACATCAGAATTCATCAAAACCATCTGCAATTTCTGCTCCAAAGCTTCCTTTTCATCTTGCATCTCTTTCAAGCCTTTATTTAGCTCTTCCTCCCTCTGTTTCAACGCCCCCTGTGCACTGAAAAGTCCTTCCATCTCGGCCTCCATAGTCTTTCTTATGCCAACAATATCATTATGAACTGTTTCCACCAGCTTGTTAATTGCGTTTCGTTTGAAAACTTCATTGGGATCTTCAGTATGCAACGGTGGATAACCCCTCGGCGGAATTACAGGGCGTTGGAAAGCGGCAGCCCCCATATTAGAAGCAAGCGAAGAATTAGCACTATCACGCCCAAAACTAGAGCTAGGACTCGGAGAAGGATTAGGGTTATGGCTAGGGCTAGGATTTGGTCTCCGTTGAGAATAAAGTGGAGGATCACGACCAAACATAACGCTCAAATTACGAACCAATTCAACCAAATTAGAGCTCGGATAAATCCAATCTTGCAAATAAGGAATCGATACCATACCGGAGGGATTCACATGAGGATGATGGCGTTTAATGATCATATCTCGAGTTGGATTCACGTAAACGCAAGGAGGATGTCGAGGATACGACTCCATGAGCCAAATAACGACCGGAATATTGTAGGTCACGCCTTGGAAGGACATGGGGACGGTGCCATCGGATTGCAGAAGATTGACGGAGCGGCCATCGTTGTGCGTGAAAGTTGCAGTCCGAGGGACCAACGACGGGAAGGCGGTGGTGAGTGAGACTAAGTGCTGGCGTATCAGCCACTTGGTATCTTCGGCGTAGGGGCCGCGCTGAGAGAGGACGGAGCTGAGGAATTGTAGGATTACCTGTGAATTCGGCGGCGAGGGATCGGAGTGAGCCGGCGACGGCATCATAGCATAGCGATCAATGATTCGATTGATTGTAGGATCTGATTCCGTTCGATTGGGAGTGGATTTTTGTTCAGGGAGTTG